CCGCACTTGGACGAACACCTGCTCCACTGCGACGCGAACCACTCAAAGTCGCAGGCGCCGCCGCCCAGGCACTCTCGCTCCAGCTCGGGCTTGCGGTACGCGTGGCACTGCTCGTCGGGGAAGATCGTGCCGTCCTTGGAAGCGCAGAACACGGTGCGGCTCTCGGAGGTGAGGCCGCAGCTGTCCTCGCACTACAAAGATACAGGCGTGAGTGCGGTGGCTAGCAAGTTCCTGCTCACAATGTGCGAGTAAAGAGCCCGAGGCCTTGCAAGTAGTACGAGGCGCGTGCAGCGTGCACATCTCTTACCCCGCTCCAGGGAGACGTCACCCAGTCCACGCCCTCGCAAGGCCGGAGGAAGCAGTCCTTCTCCGCGGGCGGCTTCTCGTTCTGGCAGTAGTTGTCGCCAAGGATCTCGATGCGCCCCTCGCGCCGGATGTAGCACGTGACCTGACGCCGTTGCTTGCCGTCGCCGCACAGCTTTTCGCACTGTGAACACAATCAGCTCCGGTATACACCACTTCGACCAACACCGCCAGGACGGCAAAGTAAGTGTGTCGGCGACTTACCGGCTTCCACGGTCCCACGAACCAGGACGGGCAGATGGAGTCGGTGCCGCAGGGCTCGGACGTCGGCGGCTTAGGGGTGCCAAGCTTTCGGCACGTGCCCTCGTCCACGACGGTAGGCAGCCCGTTGCCCATCACCTGGCCGCAGTACACCTGCAAGCGCAACAACGCGTGTTACTTCGGGGCGTCCGCGGGCCCGACGGAGTCCTGAAGGGAGGCCTGACGGAGAGCCGCTCACCTGGCGGGTGCGGGTGCCGTTGCGGCCGCAGGACTCGCTGCACGGCCCCCAGGAGTCGGTGATCCAGCCGGGCGGGCACGGCTCGGGGGCGCACGTCTGGTTGGCCGGCGGCATGCTGGCCGCGTTGCACAGCCCGTTGGCCACCATCTCCATGTCCCTCTTGCGCGTGCACCAGACGCGCCGCACCTGGCTGCCTCCGCCGCAGGTGGCGCTGCACGACGAGAACTCGGCCGCCTGCCACGCGTAGCTGTCGGGGTCGTTGAGGCGGCTGGCGATGTTCTGCGGCACGCTGTATTCGTACTCCAGGCCGGGGCCGGGCTCCTGGTACAGCATCTGCGACAGACCCAGGAAGGAGGCCGTAGCAAAACAAATAGTCGTCGTCCATCAATGTGGCCACCAGAGACCGGTCGCGCTACGCACCACGATGTAGAGGTCCTCGTTGGTTGGCCCCAGGGCGGACAGGCTCTCCGGGGCAAAGAACTCGGGCTGCGGCTTGCGCTCGTAGTGGAAGATGCATCCGGCGAAATTAAACGAGCGTGGATAGTCTATTCTCCAGTTGCCGTTGATGTAGTAGTGACCGCTGGTATTCCTTATGGCTGCGTTCGGACAAGTAGGTTAAGACACGCCCTTTTGAATCCGGACCACGGATAAAAGTTTGAAACATTGAACCGAGAGACTTACCAAGGTAATTGTTGGAGGGCTTCACCTCTCGCACCCTGATGTTTGTTGATCCAGCGGGGATGAGCAAAATATCGTTGTAACCTTGACAGAAATAGGCGTTGCATTAGAATGAGAATGTCACGGTTGCGCAGAGAGAATGGAGTGGGCCGCCCGGAGGGTAGGCAGCCCAACCGACAGAGCCGTGGGGCGGGCCTGCGCGCCTCAAGCCACACGGCTTTGGCCGATGCGGTGCGGTGGTGGACCACGGCTCCGCACCCTACTCGTACTTACCGGCCTGCAGGTCGTTGATCTCGAACACCTTGCGCTCGGTTGTGCAGCCGGAGCCGTCGCCGCCGCACTGCCTGCACTTATCCTCCCTCAGCGACGAGCCCAGGAGGAGGTCACAGCCGACGGGCTGCAAGCAAAGTGAGCACGGCTTGAACCCTTGAACACCTTTGAACGCCCGAGAGCGCAGTCGTGTCACGCACACTCGTCACTCACCAGGCAGCGCCCGTCCACGCACACGTCCTGCCGCTCCTCGTCGCAGCGGGTGCCGTCGACGACCTTCCGCCGGTGGCGGTAGTAGAAGCGCTCGCCCCTGGGCATGCAGTTGAGCTCGCACGCGTCCGTGGACTTGGTGTACGGCACCCACGAGTAGTACCGGTCCTCAAACAGCTGCCGGTCGAACCCGGAGCACTGTTCGGCCCGGAAGTCGACCGCCGTCGGAGGGCAGTCCTGGAAGGGAAGAGACACACGAGAGCTGGTTGAGACCAAGAAGGGAACACGACCACAGCGAACAGGGCGTCGTCGCCGAACTCACCTGGATGTTGCACGAGAAGAACCGCAGGTCGGCTCCCGAGCATTGCGGGCCGAGGCACTGCCTGGTCTGTGAGGCCACGCCGCCGCCGCACGAGCGCGAGCACGGCCCGGGCCCGGACCACGGCCCCCAGTCGCCGCCGCCGGGGCCCTCGTGGGCGCGGCTGCCGCCCCACACGTAGCTGTGGGGCTCGTAGCCCGCCTGGCCCTGCGTCTGGTGCGGGTGCTCCGGGGCGCGGTGATCGACGTCCGTCTCGCCGCCGTGCTGCCTCTTGAACCGGATCATCCGGTCATGGTGATGTCTAATTGCCTGCAGTGACAGAGAGAGAGAGAAATTGAATTTGACATTTATTTATTCGTTTCTTTAGAGTGGGTAAGAGGAGATGTGGAGGTACTCACATGTTTGGCTAATGCTGAGCTGAAGTAGGTTACTAATATGAATATTAATAATGACAGTGACCTGCAACAGACAAAACAGACAAGCTCGGTTAGTTTTCACTGCACTGTGCGTGGGAGGCCATAGGAGGAGGCTGCACCCGGCAGGTACCGGCTACACTGGGGCCGCCCGTCGCGTCGCGATGCATTCCGGTGCGTGTTTACTCAACGGACCTCCTCTCGGCCCGCACCGTGCTACCATGTGCGCACGTGGGGCGGGGGCCGTATGAATGGCGGGGCGGGCGAGTGCCGTCGCCAGGAACGCGTCGCACTCGCGGCGAGTGAAGCAGAGCAAGGTGGCGACCGGAGGCAGGGAAGGCTGTCCGGTAGCGGCGGTCCAGACACGCACCTGTGTAGCGTGGGAAGCATCCTAAGCGCCTGCCTCTGAGGCAGCCACTCGGCACGGGTGTACAAATATTGCCGACTAGGCAGGCGCACATGCGGCCCACTCCACACAGGTGTGCTCGTGGGGGTGTATTGCTGTACTTAGTCGGCAACACTGCTTCCGCATTGCAGCAAATGGGGGTGAACTAGCCCGCGTGTGTCCAGGTGGGTTGCTCATTCGCTTCGATGGGGCTGGGCGGCCACCCTGTTCGCTCGGCCTCTGCGCGACCACTCGATGCGCTTTCGGGGAAGCCCTGGAGGCTGACCGTGGCGTGAGAGCGCGAAGACCGCGGCATGGCGGCGCCCCTTGGACCGAGCGGTGGGCGGCAGGCGGCCTCGCGGCTCTAGTGTGCTCGTCATTACGTCGCGTGGCACTTGAACTGAATGGGCCCGACTATTCCATCGTACGAACGCGCTGTTGTAGTGGTGGGTGCTCGCCAGGGAGGTCATGGGGGGGCCGATCCCGATCCTTGTGGACCACCGGGGACCACCGGGGCCGCGGCCAGACGCGGCGGCCGGGCACCCCGCCCTGCAGCTCCGCCTGCAGCGTGTCCATCCGCAGCCTCTCGCGCCGGGGCGGCCAGGGCAGGCGGGCAGGCCGGGGGGCGGTTGGCAGTGTGAGTAATAAGTTGCGCCCTTTCGGCGTGGAACGCCAGGCTGCACCAGGGTATCCGCCGCCGAGTGGCACCGCGTTGCGCGGCCAGAAGTCGCAGACTAATTATAGAGGGACGCCACAGTGCGGCACAACGGCACACCCGTTTGTGGCGGTCTGGAGGGAGAGGTGTCGGGGCGGGGCGGGGGGAGGCGGGGCGGGCCTCTTACACCAAGCCACATGTGCACCGAGCGCGTACTCTTCGTACGACTTTCAGATGCACTCGGCTCTGTGACGTGACGAGCCGGCGCGGTTTGTGGGTGGGTGTTCCACACAGATACTCCGTGCCCGCTCCCTCCCTGCTGCAGCGGCCGCAGCCGCAGGCTGCAGGCTGCAGGCTGTAGGCATGGATGTGGAGGTGCGACTACGCAAATGTTCGCCAGGAGCGTAGAGTGGAGGTTCGGGTTAGGCGGGTCAGAAGTCTCCAGCACCCCCCCCCCTCTCTCTCTTTCCAATCGCCCTTAACGAGACACCTGTAAGCAAATGCCGAATACGCCCATGCCTCGCCGCGGGTGCCCCATCCCGACGACCCTCGCTCCCTCGCTATGGCAAGGCAGGACCGAGGACTATAACTCGTGCTGGGGGACGTCACCCCCCTCCCTCCAACCTTTCGCCCTTGCCCCCGGACTCTGTGGGGGGGCGCTTGTCGATTAGCGTGTATGAGACCAACAACTTACGGGTTATTGCGCGGCAAACGATCATCCCGTCGGGATTATATGTATGCTTCGGCCCGTGTGATGCAATGTATCGAAAAAAAAAATAAGAGGAGGAGACTGAAGACGAAAACGAAAGTAAAAGAAAATGAGAATGCATTAACCATGGTGAGACGAGAATCCTTTACAAGCAAACAGCCGAAACCCTAGCCGACCCAAACGAAGATCTGATTAGTGAGGAATCCTCGATCACATCGATAGATGGCTAGGGCTAGCTGGTATGAACAATCTATTACGTGTTGCATCGCTTCTCATCACTCCCCATCCCCCCTCCTTGTAGAAGACCATGTCTGTCTGTCTGTCTGTCTGTCTGTCTGTCTGTCTGTCTGTCTGTCTGTCTGTCTGTCTGTCTGTCTGTCTGTCTGTCTGTCTGTCTGTCTGTCCGCCTCCGCCCGTCGGCCAGTGACGTCACGAGGCGCCCGCCGCGACCCCTTCGCTTCGATTAGGTCACACGGATACGGATCCCAATCAGAAAGAAGACG